TGTTCGATGTTTTTCCGACTCAACCGATTTCGGGTGTAGAGGATTTGAAGTCGCTCAAGCAAATCACAAACCTGAAAATCTTTCTGGCATGTCATTGTGCGAAATTTATTCCACATCTACCCACTTATCGAGCCATCGTCTCTTTCAAGCAGGATGTCGAATCCTCCGACCTGCTCGTTCAAAACCTGTATAGGAATTTATTCGAATCTCAACAAACGAAACAGGAATCTCCCATCTCTTGGAACCGGGTGGAATCGAGCTTTGAGACGGCCTATTCAAACAGATCGGAGGTATACGGATCCGCGCATGACTTTTCGATGGAGGAATATTTTTCTCACGAAAAAATACTTTACGTTTGGAGTGAGAAAGACGGCTTTGGACGAAGTGCATATTGTTCAGACCACAGCCTCCCCCCTCGTCTATTACGAATTCTCATCGCCCCATCTCCAGGAAAGAAGTTTTAACGTCGCCAACAGGACGAAATTTAAGAAAGATATTCTAAGATCTTTCCAAAACTACGTCATCCCTCCGAAAACGTGCTACCTCATCCTCACGATACAGAAGAGCCTCTTTCTCGTGGATCGATGACTGCGGACGCTTTGGAAACAAGTAGAAAAGGAGATTCCTTTTCAAACGCCGATGACGTTTCAAGAGGAGACGAACACACGGCCACTTTCTCTCATCCCTTCTTTAGATGATAAGTGGTGATGGATCAAACCATCCTGGCCCGGAATGAGTCAACGGAAAGAAATCGAAGTCATCACCATTAAAGATGATGAGAAGGAAGAGGACGAAGAAGAAGAAGAGAAAAATAACCGATTAAAAAACGTTCGACTTATCGCAACATGCCTGGCGTGGAAGATTCATTCAAGAACCTGTAATCCTTTTCTTCGCAGACGGGTTCAGACAGGCAGCCTCTTCGGACTTTTCTCAGACGTGTTCAGAACCTCTTCCAACATCCTCTTCTTCTTCTCCAACGTGTCCAGAGATCATGGAGGTCGTAAAACTTCAGCCGGCTCCAGAAATTCCAACATGTTCAAAGGTCATGGAGATAGAATCTCAGTCGGGTCCAGAAGCTTCAACGTGTCCAATAGTCTTGGAGATAGAATCTCAGCCGGCTCCAGACATCGTGGATCCCCCCACTCATCCCAAAGAGACTTTAAGTGTTTCAAGACAACCTGGGTAGGATCCAGCCCTTCTTTTTATGGAAGGATTATATGGACTTAAAAAGTTTGATGGATCCTGAAGAAGAAGAAAATAATACGTATGTGTGGGTCAAAGATTGTTTTGATCAATTATCCTCGGATGAAATTAAACTGTTACGGGATTGCATTTCTGAAATCACATCGGAAATGTAGTAAAACAAAATTGTGTAACAAATTGTAAGAGGGTCATGATAACAATAAAAAAAATATTATATATATACCAATCTTGGTGGCTTCCCATTTCAGAGAGAGAGAAGGTGTAAAACGTTCATTTTCCATTTTCCAAGGATGGGCAGGATCCCAAAATGACTACCCAATTCAAAGAAAGAGGGTATAGAGCGTCATTTTCAGTTTTCCAAGATGGGAGAGTCTCAAAATGGTTACCCAATTCAAAGAGAGAGGGTGTAGAGCGTTCATTTTCAGTTTTCCAAGATGGGAGAGTCTCACAATGGCTACTCATTTCAAAGAAAGAGGGTGTAGAGCGTTCATTTCCATTCTCCAAGGTTAGAAGGGGGAGGATCCTAAATGACTTACCCATTTCAAAAGAGAGATTGTGTAGAGCGTTCATTTCAATTTTTTTCAATGTTAGGGAGCCTCAAAATGGTGACCCATTTCAAAGAGAGAGAGAAATCGTGTAGAGCGTTCATATCCAGTTTTCCAAGGTTATTGAGTCTCAAAATGGTTACCCAATTCAAGGAGAGAGAGAAGGTATATAGAGTGTCCATTTCCATTCTCCAATATTAGAAGGTCCGTTTTTCCCAAAATGGCTTTCCGAATTCAGAAACAGCGGGGTGCAGACTTTCAAAGTCCCCAAAAATGGCGTCCCCATTCAAACAGAGTGAGAGGCGTGGTGAGCGGTCATTTCCCTTTCTTCCAAGATGGGGTCGTCCGCTTTTCACAAAATGGAGTCCCCATTCAAACAGAGTGAGAGGCGGGGTGAGCGGTCATTTCCCGTTTTCCAAGATGGAGAAAGAAGAAACACCTAGGATGGAATGACATGAAGGAAAGAGAAGAAAAACGCCATGTTGTCATTTTCTGATAGGGTACCGGTGTTCGAATACTTTTGTGACCGATTGTACTTTCTTGCTACAATTCTGTTCAATATATCTTCAATACTTTTGTTAATTTAACAACATTCTTTGCAATCACTGTGGTGCTTTAAAAAGAGGTTTTTTAGTTAAGCAATAAGAATGATTTTAAAATTAAGTTTTATTTATAATAACTAGCAATTAAAAAAACTTGACTGCATGGAACTGCTGTTGCTGTGTAAAATAAAAAATAAGCTTTCTTTTATGCTTTGAAATAAATTACATGTGGTTAAATCGTCCATTTACAATTTAAAAATGTGGTTAACACACATTCTTAAATTGTAAAAGGACAGGTTTTATGTAATTTATTTGTATAAAATGTATAAACTATGAATTATTTTGTAACATAACTCAAATTACAAAATTCATTCTTATACGTTGAAATTTATTATCTTTTATGTAATAACTGTTTTTTTAATTTAGGTAAAAATTGGATTTTTAGAAGTATTACAAATACAATGGTGACACAAAGGTGATCTGATTGGAGGACTTTTCATTACTTTTTCTAGTTCGTATTTATATTACATTTGGAGAAAAGCATCCAAAACTCAGAATGCTGTTTTTCTTCTTCCATATATGCTATAAAATATTTCATACATTTAAAAGAAAGTGTTTCTTTAGAGTCTTGCACAATTATTTCCATATATCTCAGACTTAACTGACAACATATTCTAAAGTTATTTTTTGAGTATGAATTTAGAGTGTTTTTATTGAAAATTTTGTTAAAGTGTCATTAAGATAAATTTATTTGCACACTCTACACTTTAACTATTTCCCCATTTGACACTATTGAAAGTTTTTATTCATATCTTATGTATTTTACTCTGCTAACTAAACTGAAACAGCTAAAACATAAGTTACTTTGAATATGTTTTACAAAATATAGGCGAAATTTTTATTTAAGTGAAAACGTTTATATACTATTCGAGAACTAATAAATTATCCGAAAAGTTTATATGCGCTGAATGCCGCACGGCTATAAAATCAATCTTTTAAAAAAAACAGCAGACATTCAGCCAGTGTGTGAGATAAACGCGCCAAAATTGGCAGCGCTTTCCCTTACTCGCCAAGAGAAAAAAGTTGGTGATTCAGCCTGGTCTACTAGTCTGGTCTACTACTACTGGTCTAGTAGAGGAGCCTTAGGGGAAAAGGGGGTTCAGTGAACGAGTTCAGTGATAACCTCGAGGCGTCTCGTCTCCATAGCAGCGCCTCTTAAGCTTCGTTCAGAAGGGGGTGTAAAACTTCGTTCAAACGGGGGTGTTAAGGGCATAAGTGGTTAAAGCCTAGCTCCGTTGCCAAGGCAACCAGTCTGTGCAACGTCACAAAATCTGGTTTAGGGTTCAAAGTTTTCAACTTTACGACGAGTTTGGGATAAGCGTCAACCAATCAGAGTGAAGCTAAAACAAAGCGGCGTTCTACAGAAGATTTCTCTGTCACAAAACAAGCAGAGCGAATGCGCGAAATCAATCGGGCAGGAGAACAGCGCGGGAAAGTTGTAGACACATCTACGCATGCGCAAATTTAGCTTCTCTCATTGGCCACGGCTTACACGCCGTTCTCGCAAGTGTGAACGGAATTCCCGTATTTTATGCCTTTATGACTACGCCTCTATGCCCTTTACGCCGCCGTCTGAACACAGCCTTAAGAAATGGTAACGCAATTTTATGCGCTTTCCAAAGTGGCTGTGGGTCTTTTTCTAGATGACACAATTCCTGGATGATAAATAGGCAATGAATGGAGAACGGAGTTACCGATTGAAGGAATCTTTTTGAAAAAATTAACCGAAAGTCGCTGTATAAATCGATTCAAGGGAAGAATTTTGGCTGCATTATGAATGTCATCGTTCGAGACAAATCAAGGAGCTTTATAGATTTGCCGAAGCACAATATTTAGGAAAATTTAGATATATTTCCTGTTAATAATTGCTACAGGGCCCCACACGGGACTTGCGTAAGTCAGAACAGGCCTTATCATTGATTTATAGCTGTTGTTGATCTTGTTTTTGGTGGACAGGTCGCCTTTTTCTAGCGATAAAAGTCAGTAATTGGGATTGAATCAAGTGTCACTCCTAGATACTTATAAGTAGGAACACAGGAAATTGGTTCTCCGAAGAATTGCAAATTAAGTAAATTGGGATAAGTTCTTCGGATAAATAAAGTGGCGGCCCATTTTGCGACATTAATTTTGATCTTCCACAGTCCGAGCCAGAGCTCTAGCCTTGAAAGATAATTCTGCAGCTCAAGGATTACTGTGGTAGTGTTGGAATGTTGAGAGATGATGACTGTGTCGTCGTCTGCAGATAAAAGTAGATCGGCATTAGGTGATTTAGGAATGTCATTTACAAATATGTTGAACATTTGAGGCGGAAGTAAACTTCCCTGAGGGACGCCGGTATAGATTGGGCGGGCAAATGAGTATTCGTGTCTAACTGGTACTCGAAAGGATTGAATATTTAATGAATTATTACCTAATAACGTCAAAAAACATCGGAGAAAATTTAATGTTTTAATACTTTCCCAAGTTTTAGATTAGAACATTTTGATGTCTTATCTAATCCAACATATATTTTTTAAATGTCTGCAATTTGGCTTTTGAAGCCGTTAGCCGAAAAATTGATTTACAATTTCGGTACCCTGGCGTTGAGATTTCTAAATTGCGAAATGCACTTGCGAGGGTGTAATTATTTCGCTACGATGTATAATCCGTTCTCCCTTAGTAACAGCTATTGAATAGTATCTAGGCTATTTTGCCGGCGTTCTAACTAGAATTTTCTATATTGCGTTGAGGGAAATAGGTGTGGAAAAGAAACGGTGTGTGCCATTATTTCGTGCTTTCAGTTTCTTTTATTCTGCTTTATTTTGTACTGTGTAATTTGCGTGTTTGATCTCCAAGGTAAGGTGGAATTTCTAATTCTAAAGTTTTTCCGTTTATAAATTTTACTGTATCCCCATTTATCAAAAACGTATTCTGATTGCGCTGATTATCACTTTATATAAATGACCTGCTTTAATTTTCAATACTATTTGATAAGACTGAGTTTATTTAATAATTCAATAAGATTATTAGTGGTATTTGAAACGAAAACTATAATAGATCTAAAATGCTGAGGTTAAAAATTTAAATGCTTTATTAATAAGAATATTTTTTGCATCGTGTCATGCATAGATTTCTTATTTCGTAGTAAAATATTTTATGATTGTAGTTTTTTTTTATTTTTATGGTAGCCACTTTTTATATGCTTAGATGGATTTTAAACATGCTTATTGTATGAAGTGTTGGATTTTTAGTTTCAGACAGATTTGTCATTTAATTAGTGTTTGATGTGTTAGCCCATTTCACCTTGCGTGAACGAATATTAGTATTCCTTTATTAATTATTAAGATTTTTTTAGTTATTAAAATTAAGTTTATAATTGGGAAGATTCAGTGTAACCTTTTCTACTGCTTCGGTTTTCCGTCTCGAGAAAAAAATCCTTTTTTTTGTTTTGTTATAGCTTTATTGTGTGATAAAGTTATCAATAAAGGACCTTGAATTTTCCTAATTATTCAAAAGGCATTAGTACGTATAAATGGTTACGAAATTTAAAGCAAATATTTATTAATCATATAGAAGATTATAATTAAAAAACGTACTTGTTACACAAAATGATTTTTCACAAATTCAAATTTTTGTTGTTTAAAAATTGTGTGTCAAATGAGAATTATATATTGCTAAACTGAGTATTATTATTTGCAAACATAATTCACTACAGTAATAATATAAAATTACTAGTCATTTTAATATTGTATTCGCTAGTCAAATATCATGTGTGGGTGTAATTACTTTGGTTATGAATATCTAGCATGTTGTTTGTTAGCTATTATCTGCCTTCGAGTGCATTTTCCGAGATAATTCATTGATGCCATATAGCCAGAGCAGTAAGCATCACATGCATAAACAATGCAAATCAGAAACTGTATTATGTCTACTAGCTAAACTGAATGAGCGAACTAAGAAAAAACGATTTTATCAACTCTAAGTTGCCCCCAAATGCAGTAGCTAAATGGGTGTTTCACATGCTCACAGCAGTGGGCACTGTATTCTAACTTAACGTACTGCCACCTGTTGGAATTTCAGTATATAAATATACAGTTTAACAGTTTTAAGAATAGCTAATGCTACAGTCCAAATACGAAAGCTAATACATAGTTTTATGTCGTAAAGTACAGTAAAAAAATAACGTAAACATTATAAAGGACATAAACTCATCCACTGTGTTACAATCTTACTTGCTCTTTAAAAATAATTCAATTTTCAATGTAAAGTGCAATTTTCAATTGAAACACAGTAATGCAACCCTAAGCATTGCTATCTTTGATAGGCAGTAAGCAAATTTTACTAATGCATTGAATATACATGCATTTACTAATGCATTGAATTTACATGCATTTACTAATGCATTGTTTACCCTATTTGATGTTTTCAGTGTAACACTCTGGTTTTATTAACCTAAGTAAAACTTCTACAATTTTAATTAAAGACTCTGAATGAGGAAAGATTGTCTTCCTTTAACACAACTAACACATCTTCTTTGAAATTTTCTTTATTAATAAACTATTTGGTGCACTGTTGAAGATAATTTAAATAATCAGTTTGTCAACTTTTCCAAATACCTTGAATGAACTTGATAATAATATTCTATTTAGGAAGTCTGTTACTTGTAAGACAAGACAGATCAAGTTCAGGACATGAAGTGATTGAATACTGACTTAAAAAATACATAGCATTAAGACCTCAAGATTATTCACATCTGTAGATAAAATTGGGTGAGAGTCCAAAATTTTTCTAAAGTCAATTTGTAATTGCCGATTGTATGCTGAAGATAGTGGCTGATCTTTGGAATATGGTAACTGGTAGTTTGGTGACATTTTGGAGGCGATAAAGGTTACTACCTAGGACTTTGGTAATAATGTGAGAAGCACTCAGTTCCGATTACGCATTATTTTGTGTGAGGGAAATGATAGATCATGAGATATGTCATGTGACATTAATGGACGAATTACAGTTGTTTAATCGGAAAAGGTGGGAAATCTGGAAATTTCGTATTTAGCTATATTCTGTGTTGTGTGAAACGTGACATTAATTGGACAAATTATAGTTCTTTAATGGGAAAAGGGGGTTAATTTGGAAAAGCTTCATTGTGTGTTGTGTGAAATAGTGTTGATTAATTTTTGGGGTTGATCTTTACAATATGGTAACTGGTAGTTTGGCGACATTTTGGAGGCGATAAAGGTTACTACCTGGCACTTTGGTAATAATGTGAGCAGTAGAGCAGTACTCAGTTCCGATTACGCATTATTTTATGTGAGGGAAATGAGAGATCATGGGATATGTCATGTGATATTAATGGACGAATTACGGTTCCTTAATCGGAAAAGGGGGGAAATCGGGAAATAATCTGGAAATTTTGTATTTGGCTTTACTGTGTTGTGTGAAACAGTGTTCGTGAATTTTTGGATCCCATGGCCCGTAACTAAAGTGAATTCCAAATGGATATTTATGTATGTATTAATTTAATGTATGTGCTCATTTATATTTTAAGTAGTGTTTTTGAATTTAATTATATTTAATTAAATGATAGTTATTTGTGAATTTTATGTTTGTAGGAATTTGGTATACGTTTTAGTTGAAGTAAACGTGCATGGAAAATTATTTAAATATCTGACACTAAGTATTTGTAATGGTTGCAGTATGAATTCGTTGGTGACGTTGTATAATGAAATAGATGATTTAGAGGTAAAAGTTTTGGATATTGTATTTATTTTATATGTGGAAATGTTTCATTACTTTTTCGCGATCAGGTAATTTCATATATGTTCTTTTACCGGGTTTAAAGATTGAGAAAATTGTCATGTATTTTCGTGAAATTTTTCTAATTTATGAGAAAAAAGCAGTGTACATGGATATAGTGAAGAGTGTGCGCAATGCCATTTTTGTGCAATTCTGGGATGTTTTTTTAAGTAAAAATAAAGTCAGCGTGTTGGTGTGTACATGGTTTATGTGTATGTGTTATTTTGAAAAACGCGTAAGGAGTATGGTATTGTGCACTTTTTCCCAATTTTGCAGTGAATATTTGTCATAATTAAGCAGTTTTGTTAGATAAAATTTGTAGCATAAGTGTAATTCGGCTAGTAGATTGTTGGAAGAAGTGTTCAGTAGATAAAAAGAAAAGAAATATGTTTTTACTTCGTGAAGACAAAATGGCGGCGGGAAAAAAAAGTAGAAAGTTGCTGTAGGAGGGTTGGTCGCCAAATTTTCGCCAAAAAAAAACGCCAAGTTACCATAATGTAAAGATCAACCATTTTTGGATTGCATGGTGCTATGTAAAGTGAATTCTAAATTTTTAATGCGTTTATCTGATAATAATAATAAGTTGAGATTGTGTGAAAGGAAGGATATTACAAGTTTAAATGGCAGTGCAAGAAATATGGTGAAAATGGACATTTTGTGAAAAGGAGTGTAAGGAAGGGTACGTGGTTTGCTGAAAGTAGTTTGAGTATAGGTGAAATTTTATTAATTTCTTATTACTGGTGAATAGACTTCCAGTTGACTACTGGATTTTAGGATTTAGAAATTAGCAGTAGTACTGCAGCGACGTAATGAAGATTCTGAAGAAGATTAGGTAAGTTAGTATTTTTAATCATTTGAGGATATTATTTTTATGCTTTGTTTTTAAATGTAAGGAGTAAAAAATTAAAATGGTATTATTTGAAAATTGTTATTGGCAATGATTTAGTTTAAAGTAATTAGGATTGTAATCTAATTTTTATTAATTTAATGTATGTGCTTATTTATATTTTAAGTAGTGTGTTTTTAATTTAATTATATTTTAATTTAATGATCGTGATTTTGTGAGTTATATGTTTGTAGTATTTTGGAATATGTTTGAGTGGTATACGTTGAGTATTTTCATGCATTTTCGTGAAATTTTTCTAATTTAAGAGAAAAAAGCAGTGTACATGGATATAGTGAAGAGTGTGCGCAATGCCATTTTTGTGCAATTCTGGGATTTTTTTTAAGTAAAAATAAGTCGACGTGTACATGGTTTATTTGTATGTGTTATTGTGAAAAACGCACAAGGAGTTTGCGATTGTGCACTTTTTCCCAATTTTGCAGTGAATATTTGTCATGATTAAGCAGTTTTGTTAGATAAAATTTCTAGTATAAGTGTAATTTGGCTAGTAGATTATTGGAAAAAGTGTTCAGTAAATAAAAAGAAAAGAAACATGTCTTTACTTCGTGAAGACAAAATGGCGGCGAAAAAAAAATAGAGGGTTGCTGTAGCAGAGTTGGTCACCAAGAAATCGCCAAGTTACCATAATCCAAAGATCAACCAAGATAGTGTTTAAATGACTTAATTCCTACTTCCCATAAGCTTCCCAAATCTAGTTGCCAGGCTGGAATCAGATTCCAGATTATACCTCCAGATGTTAAGAAATTTGCCATATCTAAATGAAATTTCAGGACTAAGCTGTTTAATTTTTTCAGTTCTAATTTTTCACCAACTTTGTTAGTACCATTATCTGACATTATATAATATTACATTTTCTATGTCCAGGACTAATAGTAAGTAGTATATTCTTTTAATGGTAGCGAGTAAGGCATCTGTAGTTAAATCAGTTATTAGCTGTAAATGTGTTACTTTAAGTAGCTAAACATATAAATATAGCACCATACAACTTTCCATAATTACCTTTTCTCTGATTTTTATGCTTGACAAGAGAAGGATCTGAAAACCAAATTCACAAGCATTAATTACTAATCCCGGGTACTTCCTTCACCAGGTAAATATCTCATAAGTAGTTCACTTACAATTGGTTTAACCTTAAAACAGATCACACATTTATATACAACCTTTCAAGCTATATCTTGACCATTACTAAACCAAATTTACTGTCTGAAACAGGCGTTATAAAGCTTGTCCCCAAGAGGAAAATATTTAATATGTTAATTCTCAAAAGCTAATCTAGTAAATACCTTTAATATTACATAAATAATCATAGACCATTTGATATTGCATAAGAAAATTATTGATTGTAATTAAGATAACTACACTGCTCTCCAAAAGGTAAGGGAACAGTATGCTTTTCAAAGCTCACCATTACAAAAATGTCAGTAACGTTTAAATTGACGTCGTATCTATATACATGAGTATAAGTTAGAAATATGCAAAGCATAGCCTTTATTTATAAAATCATCAAATGATTCAGATATGGACAAAATGGATATTTCCACTGAAATGTGATACTTGAAAATTTTCGTAATTATAATACTTCCTTTATATTGTAAAATGCAGTAATAAAATATTACCTAAATGGGAAATCTTAAATAGATGAGAATTAGTACCAGAATTCCACAGCTATACTTTTAAGAAGTGGTCGTAAAAAAAAGTGGTTCGCTGAGAACTTCGTTCTAAAAGTTCAAGCAATAACTAAAACATTTTCGAATAAATTGTGTGTGAAAACTGTATGTCCCGTCGTTCAAAAGTAGTGGACTGTAAATTCACTTGATGTTCCCTCAGTGTAGAACCCAAGAAACCTCAGAGTCATAATGTTGACCGAAACTACTTTATTGGCTTTCAAACATTAAGTTGGCTGAGGAACGGCGAAGAACACTTTGAAATCTCCGACTTCAGTAGCGGCTCACCAAGTAAACTCAGGAGAACCTCTGCTTAGTTGAAACTCACCGCAACTTAAAAGCTCTAAACCCGAGCTTTACGATCCTAACAAATTTGTGTCTGCGCCTCTCCTCGGTACAAAGAGAGAAATACAATTTGCGTAACATAGAACTAAAATATTTAATCCTTTGCGGCGCACTGTACGTTAAAGTCGGAATTCGAAAAAGCATCTATATAGGAGTTGGAGAAAAAATGCAAAATTAAATTTTGTTTCGGTGTTGATCTTCGTTGTTATAGAGTTTGGTGGACAATATCAAAGAGTTTGTCCATCATTGAAGTTGAGGACATCGGATGGATGGAAATGGGATTCCGAGCTGATGCTGTTAGACGTATCAAGTCTCTCGTAGTGTGGTTCATCAATGACTATGGAATCAGTTTGAATCCTAGGATTCTGTGTCTAAAAGACGTGTTCCTGGCTGACCTAGAGTTACAGCACCTGCGGGAGACCGTTATTTAGCTCTTTCGGTCCGAAGGAGGAGTAACATTACTGTGCCTTACCTCATGGCAGATTATTTAGTGGCAACAGGAACAAGAATCTCGATTACTACAGTGTGCAGACAGCTGCACAATACAGGTTTGTATGCAAGATCACCTCTTATTTGTGTCCCCTTGACCTGAGAACACAGAAGTGTTGGTTTATGTTGGGCAACAGAACATGTCTCCTGGACTAGTCAACAATGAGCATCTGTTCTCTTCACAGACAAGTCCAGGTTTACATTGGAGAGTGATTCAGGTCGTCAGCTGATCTGGAGGGAACAGCACACCAGATACAACCAATCCCACATTGTGGAAAAACACAGACAGGGGTGGTAAAATAATGGTTTGGGATCTCTCTCTGTGGTCACACTAACCTGCATATGTTCCATGGAGGAACTTTGACTAGTGTGAGATATCGAGACGAGATCCTTGATCCAATATATCCGGCCATATGCCGCTGCTGTTGGTCTTGGATTTCTTCTGATGGATGACAATGCGTGACTGCACCGAGGTCGGGTTGCTGAAGAATATCTTGAGGGTGATGGCAGGGCTAAAAGAAAAAGAAGGGCTGGGTGACAAACCCCTTGACGGAAACGATGCCGACACGAACCC